AAAGAGCAAACAGTACAGAAGAATACTCTGATCATCTTCAGGAGTGGAGAAGACGGACTCAGCAAGGAAGCACGTCTCATTCAATGCACTGGCTGGTCCCTATAGCGAGTGGCAACTCACCACTGCTATTCCTGCCTCCCTTCAGATTAGATCCCAATTGTCTGTGCAGTGCAGCTAAAGGTGAAGACACCTACCAGTGACTCAGTGGCTGTCAACATACTTCTGCAAGGCAAACCAAAACCAAACAGCTAGCTCTTCCCCAGGTTTAAGAAACATTATGACTGCAGAAGTTAAGAGCCATTGGAATTAAGTTTGCCCTTGCAAATTTAAACGCGTCTCCTTCACAGATATAGCTGTACCAGTCTTTAAATACACAGTCACGCTTTCGTCCTCGCAGGCAGTGGATGGGCCCGCTCTAGGGATCAGTCGACAGCAGTGCGGTGAAGGGGCTGCTGTGTGCTACCCGACCGAATGCGCCGCTTATCGTACTCGTAGTGAACAAAGCAGAAGGTGGTCTTACCGTTAAGGTAGCTGTATGCTGTTCAGGCAGAACTGGAGTCTACTCCCACATCTGCCACACTAAAACAAATAATTTTCAAAGTTTAACAATTTAATGCATCCCTCATTTCCTGACTCGAAATCATGGGATTTAAATTGCAGAAAATGCTGCGTATGTACAACTGCAACTACTTTTGAATTTGATGAGAGATGTGCTTTGAAGGTGTTTTCAGAAGCTGTTATGTTGCAGAAAATTCAACCTACAGCTATCATAAACAGGCCACTCAAACTTCCTACAGTAATGCCTCAGTTTCCCAACCGTAAAAATGAAAAACATCATCTCTTCACCAGAGAGGTGATTTTAGACTTTAATATGACCGTGATCAATACCACAGAAAAAAGTCTAGCAAAAGAACAAATTCTGTCTTCAGAACAGCATACGGTAAGAAAGACCTGGAGCCATACACTTAAGAGGAAAAGCAGCTGCTCACCCAGTACTATGTGTCCTGTACAGTGGAGGTAAAAATGTAATTATAACTTTTTCAAACTTCAATGCACACACAGTTTTCAGCTTTACCATTCTTTTAAACTGAAAGTTTCATTTTTATAGCAAGACTTTCTTTCATACACAGTGCTTTAAAAAGTTATTTAGAAGGAGCTGCTAGTTGAGAAATATGTATTATAATCTCATCTGAAGGTTCCTTTAACATTTATTAAGGTCAAATATTTTCTTTAACATCGGTTCCAACAGTTTTCAAAGACAAGTTCTGAGTGACAGGACAATTATGACAAGCATCAACATCTTCGTGATGTAGGGATCAACAACCAACCCCTCCACACTTTCTCTCTAACATTTACCAAAAATGACAGCATTGCTGGAATTGCATCACATTCCTCTAAAAGCCAGCAGGCTTGTAGGGCCATGAATGTGTATACTTTCACATCTTCCATAACTTTACTTAATTCTACTACGTGCTGCAAAGTTTTAAGTACTTTTTAACTTTTCTTTTGGTGTCACTGCAGTCACCAATATCCATTTATTTTCTTTCTCTTCCTTTACAGAAGGGTCTAATTTTTCTCTAGTGCTATTTTACTCCAAATACATACATTACCTTTTTACCAATTTAGCTAGTGTTTGCTCATGCTATTTATACCACTATATTCTGCCAGGCAAGCCTGAATGAATTCTGCCTTTTGCTTCTGATTCTGCACCTCCTCTTCAACTTGCTGCATTTCATTTAAACTTTGCATAGATCGGCAGTTCTTCAAAATACCTCAGTCTTGTTCTTTGCTTCAGTCCACAGTAATATTGTAATTTATAACCCCTTTATTATGGTGCCTATCTTGTGTCAGTATCAGATTCAT